ACTAGATAGCTGCAGTTGGTTGTACCAGAAGCTGTGTGTGCAGTTTGGTGGCGGTCCTGAGAGCTATATACTTCCTACGTCTAAATCCTCTAAAAAAGATCAAGTTTTATTTAACAAAATCCCTGATTTTAACATAAGTTGACAGAGAGATGCTGGGGACAGCAACAAAGGTACTACATGGCAGCAATACAACATTAGGGAGAAAAGTGCTTTTCTTCATAGCAAGGACTGGAGCAACTCCTTAATAATACTAGAAAGCCATCCGCATGATAACCCTTTTACAAACCCAGAGATAGGCAGCACCAATGGAATACTGCTGTCTTGACCTGGACTGCCAAGTACTACAATAATAGAGTACTTAGGATGATTTTATAATAGCAGATGGCTTCATAATTTCTAACTGCGAGCCTGAAAAGAACTCCTCCGTTATCTTGTAAGAAATCTGACACATTCTTTTTGTATTACTTCTTCCCCTTCTCGTTCGGAGAATGAGACATAAAACAGCAATAGGGTTTATAATGACTAGCGCAAGGATAACTTCAGGTTGAACTTATTTACTAGAGCAGACCAGGGGGGGTTTATGTAAAACCCACCTGCTTTCATCAAATATTCTATTTTAAGCCTAAAAGACAGGATTCTTTTGTACAACACATGCTCCAGGCAACAAATACAACAAACAATAAGACACACTGGTGGCCGTACCAGCCAGATCTTCAAGCTCAGCTCATTTGTCAGGGCAGTAGCATTAACCGCTTTCTTTCTAGTGTCGATAATCTTTCTTGGACTGCTATCTTTTCACCATGTGCTCTGCTCGGAGAGAATAACGTACGCATCTGTTGACATGACAGCATATATGAAATTAGTGTGAAATATGTGCATTCTGGATGATATTAAGAACTTAAGATCAGCAATCTTTTGGGAAAGGTTCCTTCCTTCCATACAATATTATAGCTCATGTCTTGTATTGCAGACATTGAAGAAAGCAAGCTTTGCCCCTAACTCAGTAAATCTTATGCACATGCTTAACTCTACACATATAGAGACAGGACTGCTTTCAAGTCAACAGCACTATCCGTGCACACACATACACTTAAGCTAAGGGGTATGTGTCTGCTGTATCAAAGGCCTTCAAAGCTGTCACATTTTGTGTGGAGGCAATAAACAGAATCGTAGGAAGACAGGGCATTTCTGATAAATAATGGAAGTGTGCTAAACTGCTATCAAATGAAAAATCAATTTAGCACGAGTCCTTTAAGCAGCTGGACTCCAAAAACTGTGGCAACTGTATCTTAAGGCGATGCAATACAAAAAGGAATCCCACTAAAATGTTTAAAACCTCTTTAAAACATTTTCCAATTTGAGTGTTTTTTGTGGCATGTGCAATAAATATCAGGGAAAAAAAAGGGAGTGTTTGGAATGGACCTGTATGAATAACATGGCCAGTCAGAAATAACAGCGCAATCGCAAAAGATCTCTTTCTAAAGCCAAGGAGTCATCCTACAGAGCCCGTTTTATGCCAAAGAATGAGTAAATTGCTGTTTCACCAAAGCTTTGTCAACTGTAAGCAGCCCATAGTGAACAGAACTGCCCAGGGCTATTCTGAAACACCGCAGTTAATGATCGTTCAGCATTACATGCTATTTAACTCAGTTTTTGTTTGTTTATTTAGTGAGATATAGAGCTCCCTCTACACTAAAATGGCAGGAACAGGCAGCCTGGGAAACAGCGTTTGACTGGCTCAAGAAGTAGCATGGCCAAATTTGCCAGGCAATGCTGAAAAACGCCTTTTCTTCAACTGAAGATTTTGTAACCGCTTTCCAATACACTTTATATAAATGCTACATTTTCTAATGTTTTATTTGACTTCAGTGAACAAGAAACAGGAATTTCAGGAAAAATGAAAAGATTCTGATTTAGCAGAGACTGGACTCTTTTCATATTTCAAGGGGGTACATTCCTTCTTGTTTGGACAACTCGAGGAGGAAATTAATTTACTGATACGAAACGCTTCACAAAGCCAAAGACTCATTTGACTTGAGGCAGTACCATGATGCTCAGAGTTACCTGTGTGATTAAATTTTGTTGGACTTGCACAGAACTGAACGAATGAATGACTCCTAACCTTTCTGCAGTTGCATTTCCTCACTGATGACTCCTCCTCTCTGCCCCTGCTACCTCTTCCTTTTCTCCTCATCTTCCTCTCTCCCGAGCCCAGGGACCACTGTCCATTGCTTATTTCTTGCTGCCACTGTTATCTATATCAATGAAGAGCCCAAACGGTTACAAGGCTGTCTGGCTCACACTGACATTATTCAGAATCATCTATATCCTCAGTCCTGGCACCAGGGCAGAGAAATGCAACATGTGGGCTTATTAGCTCAGGCTCAGTGCTGCTCTTCACCATTAATGTGTCTCTGCAGTTATAGTTGACATATGAGATCTCTAGGTGAAGCTGACTGCTGAGCATCCACGACTGGATAATTACAGGGAAGAAAAAACAACACATATGATAGTTTCTAAGACATCATCAGAAATTACTACAACAAAAGACCTTGGAAGAAGGAAATGAGCTCAGTCATCTGTTTAGGCAAATAGAAGTGTTGAAAATAATACCCATTTATGGGAAAGGCACCAATGTTTGCCTTCAACACAACTTTAGTAGTCCTTAAACCAACCCAAAACTTCAAGTGCTGGTTTTGGTTCCGTTCCCCCAACCCCCACCCAGCACACATACAAACCCCCCCACACACACACCCACACACAGGTTTTACCAGGCAAAAAATCTGGGCAACTGACTTATAAATCTGAAAGTTATAAGCCTCTAGGCATATGTTTGTTCACTTTAAAATTCATTTTCACTTAGTGAGGCTTTGAAACGTAGGCATAAATGCCTGGACAGACATGGTTAGCAGAACATTCTCAATCACATAATTTGAGTGTATAATGCAACACATCTAATGTGCCACAGAAAAAATGCACTATTGTAAGTCACATGAATTATGTTACAGATACTGATGAGATTTTTATACACCTTATACACTTAACAGTATAATGCATTTCCATGCCACTGGCTATAGTTAGATGCAGTAGCAGGTCTTAAAAATCAGTCAATTGCCTTTGACAACTACGCTGATGTAAGATTAATGTAATGTAATGTCATTTAACGACTTGCCATGTAAAGAAAGGTAGACTACCTGATCCAAGATTCTCCTTGCTGTAATTGTCGATTTCTCTCTCAGAAGGTCGTGTTATATACACCAGCTCTGAGCCCCAAAGCCTCAGTGTTAAAACGTTTAATATCCTGCAGTAAAAGCAAACATCTCACATGTTTTTGGCTACCCACAGATACCTTGAACTAAGACTTACTTATTAAAAAATCAGTAGCTGATTTTCTCTACTTATATTTCTACCTTTGAACTACCTAACGCCCTTTAGCAAACATGTTTACTATTGTAAAAAAAAGCAGAAAAAAAGATCCTGCATATAAATCTTAGGAAGGCCATGTGACAGCTTAGCTGAATTGCCAAGGGTCAGTATTAGTCCCATTACAAGCTATTTGCTGCCTATTACATTTTTAATTTTTGCAGTTCTTAAGAATTTATTTTCCTTATGTATGATCAGAGGTACAGACACTAAGGGCTACAGTTCAAATCACTGCTCAGCTTGGTTTGAGTCAAACTTAAGATCCTAGCCACAAATGAATTAAGTATTTTAACTCCTAAGTATTTTAACTCCAAAGACCTAAAATCAAAGTCCGATTACCACATAAATGTAACGCTCAGCCTCCAACATACACTCAATCACTTAAAAAAAAGACAGGCTGATTTATAAACCTGTTTGCTACTTGGCATTTCAAAAACAAATCACACTTCAACAGCATGAATGCACACCTCTTCCTGGAATTCATGCAAAATAGTCTTCCCCACTGCGTTCAAACTCAAACTCCACGGCTGAGAGTAAAAATTAAGCACATCTTTCTTTCAATTTTTTTTTTCCAGCCCATTCCCCGCAGGTGTAGGGGAGGAGAAGGAGGAGGGGGAGGGCGAGCCCATTCCCCGCAGGTGTAGGGGAGGAGAAGGAGGAGGGGGAGGGCGAGCCCATTCCCCGCAGGTGTAGGGGAGGAGAAGGAGGAGGGGGAGGGCGAGCCCATTCCCCGCAGGTGTAGGGGAGGAGAAGGAGGAGGGGGAGGGCGAGCCCATTCCCCGCAGGTGTAGGGGAGGAGAAGGAGGAGGGGGAGGGCGAGCCCATTCCCCGCAGGTGTAGGGGAGGAGAAGGAGGAGGGGGAGGGCGAGCCCATTCCCCGCAGGTGTAGGGGAGGAGAAGGAGGAGGGGGAGGGCGAGCCCATTCCCCGCAGGTGTAGGGGAGGAGAAGGAGGAGGGGGAGGGCGAGCCCATTCCCCGCAGGTGTAGGGGAGGAGAAGGAGGAGGGGGAGGGCGAGCCCATTCCCCGCAGGTGTAGGGGAGGAGAAGGAGGAGGGGGAGGGCGAGCCCATTCCCCGCAGGTGTAGGGGAGGAGAAGGAGGAGGGGGAGGGCGAGCCCATTCCCCGCAGGTGTAGGGGAGGAGAAGGAGGAGGGGGAGGGCGAGCCCATTCCCCGCAGGTGTAGGGGAGGAGAAGGAGGAGGGGGAGGGCGAGCCCATTCCCCGCAGGTGTAGGGGAGGAGAAGGAGGAGGGGGAGGGCGAGCCCATTCCCCGCAGGTGTAGGGGAGGAGAAGGAGGAGGGGGAGGGCGAGCCCATTCCCCGCAGGTGTAGGGGAGGAGAAGGAGGAGGGGGAGGGCGAGCCCATTCCCCGCAGGTGTAGGGGAGGAGAAGGAGGAGGGGGAGGGCGAGCCCATTCCCCGCAGGTGTAGGGGAGGAGAAGGAGGAGGGGGAGGGCGAGCCCATTCCCTGCAGGTGTAGGGGGTAAAGGAGGGGGAGGGTGGGGTACAAGAGCCCGTTCCCACACCTGGGTGGCTGTGACTGGAGGGTGGTGTGTGCTTGGTTTTTCCCCTCCATCTCTCCTCTGCTCTCTCCCCTCCAGTGGGGTTCCTTGCCTCCCACCTTCAGGTAGACACCCAGCCTGAGCGTTGTCCTGCAGTCCCGTTACCCAGCTCCCTGGGGTCTCTGTGCAGTACAAGACTCTTGCCTTAGAGGCACTTCCTGCCACATCTTTCCTGGAGAGCAGCGGCGTGGAGGCAGTTGTTGAATCCTTCCACGAGGCCTCTGTCCGGCAGGTGAGGCTGTGGGGGACCCGGCTCTTGTCTGTAAGAGCCTGTGGTCTTTGCTGTCTTTGGTAGAGCTGCACCAGTGACAGAGGTGCAGAGCATGATGCCTGGTCTTTTCAGATGCTTCTTGCCTGGGAGTGGTGTCGCTGCTGTGGCATCAGGCAGTCAGCGCTGAACCCAACGTGAGGATTTGCAGAGCCAACGCTTTAGATGCTGCAGGAAGAGTCTCATCTTAGACAAGCAGCTCAGGCCGTTCTACTTTGAGAAATATATTCTGAGCAGTGTAAATGTTCTTCATACTACACAAATTACATAGCTCAGTTACTGAGTGCCTGCCAGTTAATGTTTCTTTGCACTAATGTTAGTACTTAGAGGCCCATTTTTCTGTATACTAAACTATACTGAATTTTAGGGTATAGTCTTTTCCTGGTCTCATGTTGATATCTGAGTGACAGTTCTGATTCACGTGTCCTCCTGGACTTAGTGTTCTCATCCCTCCCTCTCCAGCTGAAGTGGAGCCCTTTACCACTGCACATCACAGCCCAGAACATTACTGTAAGCAGCAATGGTGGTCTGAAGTGACCTACTAGGCTTTAAAGCCCAGCAGCTGAGGAGCAGGTGCATTCTTTTTTCTCTACTCATAACTGTGAGAACAATAACCTTCAGCAGAGCAGGTTCAGTAGCTGGAATTTAAGTCGCCTGTACCGGAATAACCAATGTTCCTGAGTCAGAGCCCGTTTTGAGTTTTCAGGCCTTTAGCATCTAAGAGGTTTAGTGGTTTAATGTAATCTGACGTACTTGGAAACAGCAAAAATTCTGATAAGGTATGTATGACTCTAGTATAGTCTTAAAAGCTATCCATAAGTTATTAAGAGAACGTGAAAAAGAATTGATCACAACTCTTGATATCTTAAGCTAACAAATTTCAATCAGAACGGTATAAATAGCATTAAATATTGTAAATAACACGTATATTGCGTTTGATTTATGCCTTGTAACAGTTGGCGCAATTATGAATTCTATAATAGAACAAATCCAAGCTTTCCTTAAAAAGGAATGTGTTATCTTGTGTCTATTTTACAGATACTTGTGGGAGGTTAAAAATTTGTACTGCAGCTGAATAAAACTAGGTCTGAAATCTGAAGGATGGCAGCAAATCCTTCAGGACAAGGTAAGTTTTGATTTAGGTATTCAAAGGGATGAGCAAAATCTCAGTGTGGTCACTGAGACTACAAGTTTGGTTTGTAAGAAGAGGAAAAAGGGGAAGCAGCAGAAAATTGCAGCACAAAGTAGCAAAATGTAAGCAAGCTAGGACAAGACACACACAGGCTAAATGACTGTCAAAGACCAATGGTGACCCCAGGAGCTCAGGGTTACTGTACAGTCCTTCATACTCAAGTTATTTGGCTGTTTCCTAGAATGTATTCCCAAAACTCACGGTGCTCAGCATTGAATGTGACATGCCGCTGTTGTGCGAAGCATCAGAGAACACCTAGAAGTCTAATACGTTCTGTCCCATGAAGGGAGCAAGAAGAACAGGGCAGTGTTAGCTGTCAAGAGTAGATTTCAAGTGGCCGAGCCTAGGAGGAAAACCTAAATGAAACTGTAGCGCTAACTCCTTTGAAATGTTTATCTGCATGATGGGGCATCTGCCCATGGAATTGCATCCTTAAAATCATTGGAGATGTAGAAATGTTTCTATCTAACAGAAACTTGAATTAGAAGGAGCTGAGGGACTGGGGTCATACAGTAAATTAAGAGACTTAGATTGCCCTCTGGAGGTGCTTTGTGGAAATCTTACTCAAACTGAGGTTTGTCTCCCTGTGCAAAAGCTGGGGAAGGAAGCTTCCTAGGTGTGGTTCCTCACGTGTTGCAAGAAATGAATCCACAGTTCAGTTTCCCAAAAACTTGTAACGTCTTCATATACTTTGACGTGTGAAAATTTTTGCCCAGGAAAGCAGTCTCCCAAGGATGGGTATAATTAATTCTGAAGTGCAGCCACTTTGAAGGGGTACCAGCTCACTATTTTTCTTCCCTGCTTTCAAAACAAGCATGGAAGAAATCTGATGGATTCAAGATACTGACTGTACTTGCTTGTTGGCCAAAAGAACATAGTTATGGAAAGGTCATTGGCCTTCTACAAAAGTGCTGAGGGCAAATGCTGCAGATTGCAGGTGGTCGTCTCTTTGCGAATCTGTTACACAGTGGTAAATCCTGCTTTAGTCTGTGAATAGTAGGTCAGAATAGTAGGTCTAGAATGTTGCCATAGGAGGTTAAAGGCTACTTTTTCTGAAATATGTGAATCTACGGACAAGTGTCGGGGTGGCTAGCCTTAGGCTTTCTTCCCCCAAAATTCCAGAGGCTTTTACTTTAACAGAGTATTGGAATCCATTTCTGTGCTTTGAGATGTCCCCTAGAGACTTACCAAAGGAGTTGAACAATTACGATAGGAAAATTATTTGCACAAAGCAGGCAAGAAACCCTGTGAATTTTAACCACTCTCATAAGCCTGTGACCCTATAAATAATACACCTGAGAGGAAAAAAAAAAAAAAAAGAGGTAATTAGGAGGAACAGTTCAAGCACCCCGTCCATCTTCCTGGTCGAAGTCTTCAAGCCTAGGTGGAGTCTAATAGTGAAGATAAAGGAAACGAATATTGCATGTTCAGCTTGTTGCATGGCACACATGTTGGTGTAGTTCAAGCAAGTTATTTGGTGATTTCCTTCTTCCTGGACTAAAGGAATAGGGGTTTACTGAAACACTGACTGGAAGGGCTATGAATGGCAGAACTTTTTCTAATTTATCTATAACGGAGTGTTAAAAATTGGTCTTCTGCACAGGTTAACTGCACTCAGAATGTTTTTGCTGTGGGTTGTTTCTTTCCCTTTAATCATCAGTTGGTATTTTCTTAGTAGGGCTTGATTCAGTCGCCTAGTACAGCAAGCTTGTACTATTAGAGGTTAAGATTTTGCTGACTGCGTTTCCTTTAGTTCGTTTTCATTGGACTTTGTTCTGAAAGCACTGCTTTTATTAAACTTTCAGTGATGAGCTGTGTAGGAGTGCAGTGAAACCAAACAGAATTGTTTGAAAGCCTTACTTGAGGGCCTTAATACCACATGAAACCAACTGCACTCAACAGTATTTAAAAAAAAAAAAAAGATGATGCATATTATCCACAAGATGAGTTTCATAGACCACAGTGGTCCACTTCAGTGGAAAAAGAACTAAACTAAAGCAACTATGTCAAAGTGTTGGGTAATAACACTACTTCTGCAGGAGTAGTTCTTCACAGCACTTCTACAATGTGCCTTAACAAGGCTGCTGTTGTAGTTGCTTTGCCCATAGCAAGAGCAAAGTATACCTTGCCTGTTAAAAATGAAAGACTACATGTGTGAGCTTGCCTAGAGGAAGCCCTCCTGAAATACACGAAGCATGATTGTGCTCAAGAAGGCACTTTTCCTTTAGGTCCCCACAGATGGAAGAAGTATGTTTCCTGCTTCAGAAAGGACCAGAGTTTCCCAAAACAAAAGTTATTGTACATTGGAAGAAACAAATTTTTGAAATAAGTGCAGAATTACAAGCTTGACGACGTAGCAGTTCTACAAGGTCTCTTCTTTCTGTCCTAGTGGCTGTTTATCCTTTTGGCCTAAAAGTACATGAGCACATTCACATAACACAGTCTGAGCAGGTGGATTTAGCGTTCTGTTAAAAATGCTGTTTGGCATTGAAAGCTGTAATCATCTACAAACCCTGCTGCTGTCTGCATTTAAATCTGTTCTATGTGCAAGCTTAGTGCTTGAGGGCTGTAGTGAATCTCTTAACGTTCCCTGGAAAATTTTGTACTCGTAAAGCAGCGGTGGCTTACATTCACCTATGCATGTAGTTATTGTCAGGAGGGACAGGTAAATTTTAATATATCCTTTAACAATTCAAATTAATTGAGTTGCTAATATATCTTTTGCTTCGCTGCTACACAACGCATGTAAGAACATATCAAAATGTGAATTAAAAGTACTGCTATGTAGCAGATGGCTAGATGATACTTTGATGCTAGTAGTAATAAGCAAATTAGAAAATCAGAATAGAGTTATTGCACCTTTTTTCCCTGAGCAGTATGTGATTAACAGCCTCTTCAGATTCTGCTTTTTCAGAGTTTGCTGTTTCACTTAATGAAGGCTATCATTTCTGCGAGCATGTACTTGAGTAAAGAAATTGCTGTGAAACGCGTTCTGAATTCAGCAGGCAATGTGTGTGGTGACAGTGCCTTTTAATGCATGGAGGCAGAACTTAGAGGGGGCATCCAGATTTGTCACCATTTCTTAAAGCAGAAGTGTGTCTTGAAAGCGATTTGAGGTCTTTCCTGTCACGCCAATGTGTATTGGCAAATGAGAAATAATGCATCTTAAAAAAAAAAAAAAAGACTTAAACGCATGCATTGAATTTGAAGTGACTAACAGTTCAGGTGAAAGGTAAGAGATGGAAAAACAAGAATTTCAAAGCAGATAAAGGAAATGCTGGGTTTGGCCATGCTGAATCAGTTGGTAGAACTAACTGGCGCGAAGAGGTGGGGCAATCGGGTTAGGTGTGTATGGTAAGAGTGAAGCCTGTTGCGACCTCTTAGACATGAGCATTGCTTGGTGGGGCTTTGGCCTTTCATATTGTCATGCCTTTCACATGGAAAAACACTAGTGCAAGTAAACTCTTAGGTCCTGCACAGAGCACACAATTCCGTGCTTGATATCAGAAATGCAAGTATCAAAAAGGACATACTTAAACACTAGATATCTTGATCCTAGTACCTTAGGAGAATAATCTTGGGATCCAGGTCTTGGATGTGATATCTAATGCTGCCATTATTTTCTTTAGCTGTCTTGAACAGGTCGTTCTGCTTTAGGGCTCCTCTGTTCGCAAAGCGGAGAGAACACTCGTGAAGTCAAGTGCTCTAAACGCTGACACTCCAAACAGTAATGCAGTTCTACCCCATCACAAGAGTTTAAACTCAAAGCACTTTGTTACGAAGTTGCTTTGTTTGAAAATCTATATGCTGCTTTTCAGCTGTGAATCGGGTCTCTGAGGAGGGTTTTTTTTTTTTTAACACGTCCCTGTTATGGAAGATTGTGGTAGTTTTGTACAGTTATTAAAAGGTGTAAAAGCACCTCTAATCAGTTTAAAAATAGCTTTTTTTTTTTTTTTTTCCTTACATATATTTCAAAGCTTACTGAATCATACCATCTGCTTCCTGGTAAATGTAAACACATCTAGTCTTTATTTGTTAGCTATCAATAGCATAAATGAAAAAATGTATCTCCTTTTTCTTTCCTCAGCCCCCATAAGGTCTGACTTAAAGCACGGATTTTGATTTATGCCTTTTCAGGATAAACAAGCACTAGCAGAAGGCTATTGAGTAATGTATCAAGTTATAAGCTTTCTGGCTGGACACTATGTAGATGACTGTAGCAAAGGCCCTCTTAGAGATACTTCAGTAGTCTCTCTATTACCACACGGTCTCCAGAATTTACCAAAAAGGAAGGTCTGGGGCAGCTGCATTCAGAAGTATTGATTTTTAGTTTTTTCGCAGTGTGTCTCTGCCTCCATATGTCTTAAAGCATACATTCACCAAAGAGCTTCTGAACAAGGTGGTGTTCTTTATTAAAAACGTGCGCTGTTGCAGATACACTCTGGAGTTTGGAGTCGGATAAATAGATGAAGTAAAGTACAACTTTGTATATTCATTTTTATTTCTCTTGAGATTTAGTCTGAGCAAATACGAATATCTTAGGTTATAACGGACACTCACAGAAATCACCTGTGTTTTAACATACCTATGAGTACATTTTTAAACTGATTACAAAATCTGGGGTTAAAAAAAAAAAAGAATACCTACAAGGTAGAGAAATTATGAAGAACTGTGAAGCAATACATTTTCAAAATGAATTTCTTGTTCTAAACAGAACTAATGCATTTTGAGAAGGAGAAATTAACAAACAGGAAAATAGTAATTAATGAAGTTTAATGAAAAATCTGCCAACAAAGGTACAAATGATCGTGAATGATCTTGCATAAAGATACAGTAAAGTATAATCAAGCGACTCAGCTCCTTCGAAGAAAGTAAGGAGCAGCAGACACTGTGGCTCAGTGCTGTGCCTATTAGACATAGGAGAAGGTGAGGATTTGATAGCAAGGCAGTAAGGATGTAAATTGTTATCTAGGGCAGGAGATTTATATAAAATTGTTTCCTTGATTGAGCCATGCTGACAAATTAATATTGGGTTATGTAATAGAGCAGCAATGGAAGACCTCAGAAGGAAGGAAACTTAAGTGCAGCTACTGTAAATAAATTGAAAATAATTTTACAAAAGATGCTATTGTTCCCGCTTAAGAGTTATTCACACTGGCCTATTTAATAGCACGTCAGCTACCGTTTTTGATTGCCGTTATTAAAGCACAGCACTCAAGGTGACGGGAAGCAACACAGTGTCCAGTGGAAACAACCCTGACTTTCACACTGAGGAAATAAATACATTCAAAGTAAAGTCTTCTCTTTAGGACAGAGTAGTGGCTTGAGTGTATTTAAAAACTAGCTGCAAATCAGAAAAAAGTTTCTGTACTCTTGACCTGAGGAGGGACCTTAGTAATACATCAGCCTGTAGCTGTGTTCCACAGTTGTGCTGTCTGTGGCACACTGGGCAGCAGGAGGGGTTTGTATATCTGGTTTATTTGGTAGCCACAAAATAGTTAGCGTTAAAGATACAGTGAGATCTTTGTCCATGTAATTCCTGTTTATGCACAGCAGTTCTGCCCCATTCTCATTTGTACAGAGTACAATTGTCTTTGAGAAGACAACTGTGAAAATACATAAACGGCATCCATTTTAGGTGTTTTCCAAGCTCGCTCAGGAATACTAGTTCCCAGCCCCTTCTTCAGTATTGAAAATCCCTTTCTGATTCCAGAGAACGGTATATGAAACAATTAATGGCCACGTTCTCATTTTATGCCCAGACGCTATAATTTTGCTTCTGTATCCCAGCCCTGCAGTCCTACTTCAAACTCAGCGCAGGGATAGAGTGTCTGTCCTATCCTACATTAAAATTTAAACTTTTCTGCATGGATTTGAGTGAAAGATTGTATTTGTATTTATGGATAAGCACATAGACGAGCTTTTTGGTGGTCTTGATCTTACTTGTTACGTATGCAAAACTTGTGCTATAGTTTGAGTTTACTGGCATAAGGAATTATATCCTGTGAATATAGTCATCTGTTATCATTCAGCTGTAGTTTTAATGACTGCATTTTATATCTAGAACCTGATAAGTTTTATTTTTTCACTGAAAGGCAAATATTTGACCATATGCCTTGCCTATAGCACCAAAGCTGGCTTGGGAAGTGGGGAGACCTAACTTCAGATAGCAGACTATATTTTAAAATGCATTAGGATGTATGATCGCTTAAGGAAGCTATTTCATATTGTAAAATGAGAAGCTGCAAAATAAAACCGATATCGGAATAGCCTTTCAGATTGGTGCAAAGTTTTGAAGATTAATATATTCATCATAATGTCATATTGTGCAGAGACTAATACTGCCGGGTTAGAGTTGGCCCACAGAAATAAAGCACATCTCTCTAATATTTTTCTGTAATTCTTACCAGGTTTCCAGAATAAAAATAGAGTTGCAATCCTGGCAGAACTAGACAAGGAGAAGAGAAAGTTACTTATGCAAAACCAATCTTCTACAAATCACCCGGGAGCCAGGTACTTTATGTTCTTATACCTGTATGGACATTGCTGGTTTAAACAAATAAAAAAACTTTTTTTTTTCCTAATAAGTAAGCTGTAAACATAAATGTGTGTAAACACTTACCAGAAGTATGTGCTGACTATCCTCAATAACGAGTCAGAGAGACTTTACATAATCAGAATGTATTTGTATTTAGAATTGTTTACTGCTTCTGAATTTGGGTTACATATTTTTCATTTGGGAGAGGGAAAAACAGATATGCTTACTTACATGCATAAAAGTCTATCTTAGGAACTGGGGAGCAGGCCCCGAGAAAGCATTTCATTATTAAGGTAAAATGCTCTGAGGAACGTAGATAACAGACCGTTGATTTCAGGGATGCTGTATGTTTAGTGAAGAATACTTACGGAAGGGAGTAAATTACTACATTCTCCCTGAAATTGCCTGCATGCAAGACAAAGCCAGTTTCTATTACTGCATATGTTTTTATAAAAGACATCATGTTAGAAGGATAGTTCTACGTCACGAGACGTGATGATCTAATTTGAATTTTGGAGCTGTCATTGGGATGTCTTCCATTTAAGACAAAAGGGTTTGTATTTTTGTCATATAATAGTAACTAGAATCACACTAACTTACAGTGGACTAGCGTGAATTGAGGGCGATGCCGTGTTCTAGATGCAGTGTGTTACATACAGAATCTGTAGAAGAGTTATTTATTTTAAACAGTCTGCTTTTACCTCTTTTTTTAAAAGAGATTCTAGGCCACCTTTGTCGTCATCTTACTGTCCAAAGAGAGGAATATTTGAAATCAACGAAATTAGATCCCTAACTGACTCTGTGTGCAAGGTATTACTCAAGCACAATTATTGATTACAGAAGGGGATAAATACTCATACTAATTTGTATAGCCCATGACTCCTGGCAACAGTGCTTTCATACTTCACTGCAAGACTAGCAGAGTTTCTATGAGTACTCATTTGGTTTATTTTCTTTAAGGAACAGACTCACTTCTAGCGCACAGAATTGCAACTTACTAATTTTGAAGGGGAAGGAAAGAAACACACAAAGAAGCAGCCAAACAGTTGTGGGCCTGGAGGGCTGACACATGGTTTTTGAGCAAATGACAGTTATGTGGCGGGGATGTTGTGCCAAAGGTTTTAGACTCCAGAATGGTCAGAAGCAAGACCACAGAGATTCTGCAAGTTCAGCAGCAAAAAGTTTGATCCAAGTAAAGCAAAATGGTGGCATGGGCTACTTACGGGGGCATAAGTGAATTATCTCCATCCTTCTTGTACAGAAATCTGCCTAAGAACACAAGAATGGTCCTGAAAAGTGTAAGTTTCTGACAGTCTTAAGATTATACGCAAAACTCATTGAAAATTCTGAGGGTAGACAATTCAATGCAAAACACAAAACAAATACCTTCAAAATAACTGTAAATACTATGCTTTAAAAGAACTGAGTGGTCCTTTTCTCCAGCAGTGAAGTTTATCTTAATATAACAAAACTTTCTATTCAGAGATTTGTTACTAAGCTTTTAATATTCACCTGGGTGTACCTTTGACTAAAGGTCTTATAATGAGAATCATTGCTTTTGAAAGCCTGAGTTACTAACTCAGCAGTTGACATTGGAGCTGCTGAGAAAGCTCAGGTGATGAGTTTCCTTGGATCCCTTGTTCGAGATACTTTTTCGTACTGTTGTCTGTATGCCAGAAGGGTTGGACTTTGGCTGCCTGTCTTCAGAGTCTTATTTCAGCCATGGTTGTCAGTCGCATTGCAGTACAACTCTGGTGGTGTTCATTAATTTTTATTTGAAGGATAACAGCTCGTCTTTCCTATCCAGAGTACTAACATCAGCCGCTTTGTATTTCTTTTTTCTTTGGTTAACATGGTGGACAATTCTTTAGCCATAAAAGGCAAGAAAAGCTATTTAGAGTTATTAAGTTGAAGGATAACATATGCTGCACTGAGATACGTCGGCAAAATCAATTTTAGGCTTTCTGTCATCAGGGCATCTTTATTTAGATTATGTATCAATAAGAAATTATTTTAACAAAGGCAGTAGTCTGCAGCCCTCTGCCGGACAACTGAACTTCTTGTGATGAAGACTGTGGAGCTCTGAGTGCTTTATTTTTATCACAGTTACTTAGGAGAGTCACTGGGTAGTAAGGGTGAAAATACAAAGCTATTGTTCTAAAAATTGCTAGAGTTCTGACATCGTACTCATGGTGCCATTCTTTCTTGCAGCATTGCACTTGCAAGATCACCGCTGAACAAGGATTTCCGCGATCATGCTGAGCAACAGCACATTGCAGCACAGCAGAAGGCTGCGCTGCAGGTAAGTTGACAAAGTAAAGTTCAGTATAGCTTGGCTCTGTTCTAGATGCGCATCCCTTCAGAGAGTAGCCCTGCACCTAGAACAAATTGGAAAACTCTTTCAGAAGTTAGGCTTCTTACATTTCTGTATATGTCACAAATTAAGTTTCTTCTTCTGTTACGATGCGAGCCAAGTCTATGACCTCGTTCTTCGTCAACCTGATTGTGGGAAAGTTCCTTACAGTATAATTATAGCTGTGCTATATGTTTCTGTCAAGTCAGTTTCATTAGACTTCTGAACGTCTCATAA